TGGCATAAGGTATTCTGCAACGAGTCAAGGAGTGGAGAACTCTTCTTGTGAAATATTTCTGGACTTTCTCAACTGTGTTAATATCAGATACGTAATGTGGGTTCCAGACTGATGAGCTGTATTCGAGTATTGGTCTAGCAAATGTTTTGTATGCTCTAGTAAGTAGTGTGATATTACCAGAGAAAAAGCTACATAGGAATAGGTTAACAACTCTTAATGCCTTTTTGGCTATGTAGTTACAGTGGGCTCTAGCACTTAGATCATTAGAGGTGAGTACTCCAAGGTCCTTGACAGAGTTACATTGTTACATATTGAGAGTAGTGGCACAAAATAACAAACTCCCTTGATTTGGTAATAGTATTTTCATTTTAACTGTTTCTTTTTCAATTAATGAATTGTAATTATTAAAATATCAGCCATTCTTTTATATACACAGTGCAACATCTTTTCATTATAGACTGTCATTGTCAAATCCACTTCCAGTTCCGTCTCAGTCTTGTCTGGTGAAACTTGTTCCTTTTCCATAACATCTTTTAAATACTAACTAGCTATAAGGACAATTAAAAGTAACTGAATATTACTGATCTCCATTCCTCACCTGCTTTCTTTGCTTGCCACTGCCTTCACCACTCAACTTACAATAACAATCAAGTCTAAACCACTACATTGTTGATTTTTTTTTTTTTTTTGCAGTACATTACCAAGATGAAAAAGCAAATGAGTTTGGCTGCTTTCTTCAGCAAGAAAACAAAAGGAGATCCAAAAGAGTCACAACTACAACCATTGGAGTCTGGAGAAAGCAGCATCAGCACATCATCAAGTACTGGAAGAACTGAGTTGGACATTTAAAGTAATCTTCCTGACTGCTGGACACTGCAGCAGTACAACAATTTTAGGGGAAAATATGATGGACTGGAAGTCCCCCCCCCCCCAAAAAAATAGGTTGCAGGAGGGCAGAGCTGGCATAGCAGCAGTATGATGCGCAACCTTGATGCTCCAAGATTGCCGCCAATATCTCTGCTGTTGGACGGTCCCACTGGACCTAAACCATCCCGTAGAGACGGTGATCAATAAGGGCACATCCTGCTGATCCCAGGGACACCGCAAAGTCCCTGGTTGATCCAGGAGAAGCCCTTTTTGCTGCTGGCGGAGAGGCAGCCTTTTAAGTTACTGAAGCTGGAACAGCTCTGGAACGGAAGAGATCGGAAGAAAGTGTGTCAGTTTGGTGAGAGGAACTTTTACTTATTGTTTTTTTGGAGAGAACACCCTAAAAGACTTAAAGTGAAATTAAAAGTGAAGAGAAAAGAGCTCAAGCGTCAAGATTAAGCTAGTTAAACTGAAGGTTTCCCCCCCCCCCCTTTTTTTTATTGGAACTTGGAATTTGGCCAAGCTTCTCAATTTTAAACTGGACTGGTCTTTTTTAATTTTTAATTTTTTTTTAACAATTCTCTTGAAAGTCCGCTTTGATTAAGATTCTTCTTTCTGATTTGAGATTTATTTATTTCTCTTTAAAAAAAAAAGATTTTACTTTTTTTTTCTGTTCCTGGCTTTGGATATATGAGGGGAAGTGAAAGTGAAGGAAAATAAGTAGCACTGCCATCAAGAGGCTTGGATATACTGTTTTCTTTTCTCTCTTACTTGTTTGTGTATTGGTTTTACACTCAAGGACTTTGAGCTTTGCACTGAAAAAGATAGTGGGATGAGCATGGCAGATTGTTTATACAGGTGTTCATCTGTGAAACTATAGAGAGGCGGAGTCTGGAGTTGAAGTTGAAAGAAAAAAGATTAAAGTGACCTTGAAAATACTGGAACTGGAAAGTCTGAGTTGATTTACCAAAGAGCCTTGGATATTTAGTGGCAGCGGCTTGCTTTTTGTTAGAATTGTTTGTTATTTGTTATTTTCTTTTTTCTTTTTTTACTTCCCCTCTAGTTGGATTTTTATGTTTGGACTTTAGCCTTTTAACCCAGGAACTAGAATATAATTTTTCTCTTGCTTTCTTTTTTTTTTTATTAAGAGAAATACATAGACTATCATTTTTTAATTTTTTTCCTCCCCTTATCCTCTTTTTCATTAAAAAAAATCCTTTTTATCCTTTTTTCCACATCTTCCCTTTTCTTTTTGCATATTACTGGAACCAATTGGATTAAGATATACAAATGCCTGAAGATTTTTCTCCTCCTTTTTTTATTTTTTGGAGTGGCAGCTGTTTGCTTTCGCTCTCTTTTTTTCCCTTTTTTTCCTCTTTCTTTTTTATAGCTAAGTATTACAAGATGAGCAGAAAGACAACAGCCCCATCTTCTTCAATACCAATAGCCTCCTCTTCACCATCTGGAGGACAACGATCAATACAGACAATGTTACAACAGGAGAAAGAGAAGGAAGTGACATTGCAGATGATTATGCAAGGAATCCAGAAGATTGAAAAGGGAACAGAGAATATTGAGCAAATAACTGAAAAGACAGATGATAAGTAGAGAATATTCAACAGATGATGATGAAATATGAGGACAGATTTAAGAAAATTGAAGAAGATATAGAAAGCAATCCTTTTTGATGTAACCTGAATATCTTAAGCCTTGTATTTAATCTGTATAACTTGCACATGATATATGACTGGAGCCAGATGCCTGGAACCTTGTCACCTGTTGGAGAGATAGCAAGAGGAGAAGAGGCCATAAAAATTCCAGCTCTGAAAGGAACTTCCTGAGAAACTTTTCTATGATAGGTTCCCAGAAAGGGGCGGGGGGAGAATTAACATGTTGTTTCTTTGGTTGACTAAATCCACATCAGAATAAGGGGAGGGGTTCTAACTCCCTTTATCTGTCCCTGTATGCCTGGGGGTATCTTAGACTCTGTTTAGACTAGTATCTGGATTACTCCTTTCAATAAAGAATTCCTTTTGAAGTACCTAGCTTTCAGAAGTTCATTCTTTTCGGTTGAAGGGAAAAAGTCTAGTGCTTACACTGTCCTTGGAAGGAAGTACCATTCGGCTTTTACTTAAACCAAGGGTCTTCAAACTTGGCAAGTTTAAGATTTGTGGACTTCAACTCCCAGAATTCCTGAGCTAACATGACTGGAGGAGGAATTCTGGGAGTTGAAGTCCACAAGTCTTAAAGCTGTCCAGTTTGAAGACCCCTGATTTAAACTAATGCAATTCCAAGCAACAATTACACAGACCAGAGCAGAAATGCGGGGGGGGGGGGGGCAGTTTATGACTTGGAAATATTGTTCATGACTGTCTTCCAAAAAACACGTGTACATTCTTTGCTTCAAATGTTCTGCCTTTCTCTGGAGCAATTGGCTTTCTTACACTTTCTGGCTCTTGGTGAGCAAATTGTAAATGAGAACATCAAGAGCAATGCAGGTTCATCAGGGTGCATTTGTCCTCTATTGAAGATGACCTCTTTCTCTAGCAGTGTTGTGGTCTATGGTCTGCAAATCAAGTTAAGTTTACTTTATTGTCATTGCACCTTGTACAATGAAATTAAATGCCATCTTCAGTGTACATAAGAAAACTATATATATAAAAAAACACATCCTTCACATTCTATACAATTGAATTGAAACCCCCTGATATTGCATTAATATAACACTATATAGTAGAATTAAATATAGTTACTGCTCTGGGATAAAGCTGTTTTTCAGCCTATTTGTCCTTTTTTTTTTATTGTCCGGTACTGTCTGCCAGACGGTAATAGTTCAAAAAAAGGGGGTGCCCAGGATAAGATGGATCTTTGAGAATGTTTTGAACTTTCTTAAGGCAGTGGGAGCTATAAAGCTCTTCCAAAGAGGGGAGAGGGCAACCAATGATCTTCTGGGCAATGGCGTTACCCCTCTGGAGCGCTGTCCTATCTGCCCCTGTGCAATTGGCAAACCATACAGAGGTGCAGTAAGTTAAGATACTCTCTATGGTGCAACGGTAGAAGGTCACCAGCCATTTTTCACTCAGAAAGGGTACTACAGGTAGTTCTCAACTTAAAATGGTTCATTTAATGACCATTCAAAGTTACAACAGCACTGAAAATGTGACTTATGACCATTTTTCACAGTTGAAGTTGCACAGTTGCAAACTTTGTTGCATCTCTACGATCACATGATCAAAATTCAACTGCTTGGCAACTGGCAAAGGTAATTATGGGAGCCCAGGTGGACAGTTGGGCCCAACAGCAGACCAGTGGAGAGAACCAGTTTGGTCTCCACTGCTCATCGCTGCTACCGGCTCTGCAGAACCGGGCCGAACTGGTAGAATACCATCACTGTCTGTACTACATTTGATCAACTATTGAGTAACAGGGCTCCCCCTTTATAATATCTTCATAAATCATCTTTCACAAGTAGCTTGGTCTTTTTTTTTAACTACTTGCCCAATACCTTGTATGGAGATAGTGCTGTTCTTGTAGTCAATCTTAATTCGGGTTGCGACCCATCAGATCAGAGGTGGTATTCAGCCAGTTCTGACAGGATCTGAAGAACCGGTAGTGGAAATTTTGAGTAGTTCAGAGAACTGGCAAATCCCGCCTCTGACTGGCCCCACCCCCATCTCTTCTCCGCCTCCCATTGAGTCCCAGCTGATTGGCTGGGTCTTCTTTGGTTTGCCCTGCACAGGGAACGGAGCTGGAAAGCAAGTTAGTGGGGTGGGGAGGGAATGGGGATTTTGCAGTATTCTTCCCCTGCCATGCCCACCAAGCCCCCACCACGCCCACAGAACCAGTAGTAAAAACATTTGAATCCCACCACTGCATCAGGTGAAGAGAACAAACAGATGGCAAATGGCAAATTTCAAACAGAAACCTAAAGGAACATCCCAGGAAAATAAAGAAAAGTAGATAAAGACATTCTTGGCAGGAATCTTAGGGGGGGAAGGGTTTCTGAAGAGTTGAGAATTGCCCATGGTGAAATGTGTTAAAATTTGGGTTTCAGGAAGGACTCTAGGTGGCATATTATCTGTAAATAATCTGTATTTCATTGTAATGTATCTCATCTTTGATTCACTTGGCAGCATGTGAAACGATATGGAAATCTATACATCATGTCATTTGGGCATTACCTTCTAGTCGTGCTATCTGGATTCAAAACTGTGAAAGAAGGAATGACCAAATTCCCGGAAGAATTCTCTGGACGACCAAAGGATCCTTTCTTTGATATTTTAGGGAAAGAAAAGGGTAAGTGAAAATAGTAAGAAATTTTATACCCATTTGAACTGTCTGGATCTCCTGATTTTCCTGCCGCTTAACAATTATTTTAGAAGCTTTTGCTGTCCATCATATATTGTTGGAAATTATGATTCCCCTTTCTTCTAGGAAAAGAAAATAAATCTTAGAACATTAGAAGGGGGAAGGAAAATTCCCCTAAAAGAAAGGAGAGGTGAAAACACAAGCAGGGACAGCTCCATTAGCCCCCACCTTTGCATGGGACACACATTAGCTAAGATCCTTTCCCATAGAAATCAAATAGATGGCAAGCTATAAAAAAAAACTTGTGAAAAGCAAATGGCATAACAGGAAACTCAGGATATAGCAACCAGGTGCAAACTGATAGCTACAAAGGATCAGGGAAAAACAGAGATTAGACTATAAAACAATTACTCCTACCAAAATCCCAGGAAGAGATCCCAATCTAAAGAGACAGGAACTCATCACACGAACACAAATCAGACTTCAAAGATTCACATTTACAAATCAAAGAACCTGAAGTGTATAAGAAAAGGGTTTTCCTACTCATTAGATTAATCTCAGGAACGCTGTAGAATTTATTCTTATTTGCCTTCCTATTCATGAACTGATTCTGGCTTCTAATGCAGCTCATTTTACTGATTTTGCAGTAAAATCTCCCAGCCGGGAAATTTGCATCCACAAAAGGAAAGAACTTTGCCTTTTTCCTTAAAGGGCAAGGCTTCCTTTCCCTTTCCACAATATGATAGCAACAGTGGCATACACCATCACCATGGCACGTATGTCTCCCAGTGTCCATATGAGTTCCAAAATGAATATTTTTTAAAGAAAAAATAATATGGCCAGCATCTTACAAAATGGCAGCCTGTCACAAATGTTTGGTATTTGCATCTGAAAGATGTTTGGCATAACTAGACCTAATCCTTTTTTTTAACATGAATGTTATGAAGAACAACCTATCAATGTTTGTTGATGCCTTCAGGAATTATTCTTTCCAATGGCCACACCTGGAAACAGCAGCGACACATTGGGGTCACTTCTCTGCGGAAACTCGGCCTGGGGAAGAAAAGCATTGAGTATCAGATAGAAGGTGCAGTTCAAACATTGGTGGAGAACTTTAGAGAAACAGAAGGTATGTAATTTGGGGTGATATAATGGCTCAAGTCCCTAAGTACAGAAATCTTTTCTATTCTGATTATTTCAAATAAAGCACATTTATTTGATTTGATTTTGATTTTTCTTAAAAAAAACTGATACATTTCCTAATTCTCTTCCTTCATCCCCTTTCAGTCTCCCAAGTTTACAAGACTTCAGACATAACCAGACAAACTAGTTCTATTTTGTTGTAAGGCTACATTAGCAGACTCTTGCAAGTTTGAAAGTACAAATCTCCTGCTGTTTTTAAAGAAATTTTTATTTTATTTTACAACATATCCATTTTTCAAATCAACAGTGTGTTGTCTGGGTACATATATCTTGTGCATATATTCATATTTAACATACACCTCTTATTGTAATATCAATAGTTACATCCATATTAAAAACTACTCATCCTTATTTTATTTTATTATTATAGTAATCTTAATGCATTTTACCTTATATTCATTTAACTTCTTTCTTTGTTTTCCAACCATTTATAAAATAGATCCCATATCATATAATATTCTGTTTCTTCTTGTTCTTTAGTTGCCAATGTTAATCTGTTCATTTCTGCACATTCGAATATTTTCATAATCACCTCTTCCTCTGTCGGAATCTTATCATTTTTCCAATTTTGAGCAAACACAATTCTAGCTGCTGTTAATATATGTATAATTAAATATGTTTTTTCTTTACAAAAGTTTTTGGGTAAAATCCCCACAACAAAAATATCTCAGGTTTTAAGCTGTTTCTTTTTACCGCCTGATAAGTTAGATGGGATTCTTTAGAAGTTACTTTCTGTGTCTGTCACTCAGTTGTGGCCTTCTTCCCCCACCTGTCTTCCAATGTCATTCTCACGTTCTGTTACATCATCTTAAAAGTCCTGTTCTTTAGTATTAACATGTTGTAATGATGAGGCAATTGAGTTGTTTGATCATGATCAACTGAATCATGATGATCTTTATTGGAGTCTTGTCTTGCATTTATACACATTTTTAGTTATCCTCAATCATTGGTTAACTTTGGTTACTGCTTAACTTTCGTTACTGTTTAGCATAGTAATTAACACAATTAATTATCTCTAGTTAAAGTCTAACATATGTTTACTTCCTCTCTCTAATCCTCCTTTAGATTAGTGACTTTGTTTGCCTGAGTTGTATTTGCTTGGAAACATTCTTTATCTGTGGTTTGCCATCCAAGATTAGAACATTCCTGCAATTACAACTCTACATATCCTCGTTTTTTATTTTAAATGGAGGATTCAAAGATTTATGAATGTATCACAATTGTAGGGGATTAAGAGAGGGGGAAGCAGGATGAAACAATGCAAATAAATTTGGAATACATTGAATAAAACAACAGGTTGCAATTAGTACAATAATAATTATTATAACATAAAAAAAAAACTGTCTGAGCCAAGACCAATCAGGGAGCCAATTGGTTAGCCACTCAAAAGGTGAGTAATGAGCATGGATATTATTTTGAATGTATGATTGTAAATTGGCAAGCTCATCCTCAATAGTTTTATTCAAAGAATGAAAATGCACAGCAAATCCATGGTGTCCAACTAATGTACCGAACCCTCCCTGATGGGCTAAAAGATAGTCTATGGCAAAACGCTGCTGTAAGACATCTTGATTTAAGTCTTCTATTTCATGCTGCAAATCACGAATAATAGCAGCGGTAGCATTGATGGATTTTTCAAGTCTGCAGGTGAGACCAAGAGTAGATCGTCTGTTTTCTTGAGCAATTATGCCAGGATAAGAGCCTAGAGTAAGGACTCCTGTAACGGCCCCTGCCAATGCACAGCCAAATGTAGAACCAGAAGACAATTGTGTATCAATAATGACTTCATCGTTACATGTAGGCCCCAGAGAGGAACGCCGCTGTTGAGTTGATGGGAGCGTACCTATTTGAACAGGTAGAGTAAAATAACCTATAGCTGCACATTGATAATTCTGAGGATGAACATTAGTGGCATATTTATCAAAAAAGAACCACATATTAGGATCCTTAAGCTGCCAACCAGCACATATCGATCCTGTATTAGATTGATCAGAGGCATTAAAAATAGGAAAATTGTCAGGATACATATCAGGAGCTATATTACTTCCATACAAAGAAGAATTAAAGGTACCTGACAACCAATAGTAGTCAGAACAATAACTATAATTCCCTAGCTTTTTTAATATGTGCTGAGCAGCATCATAATCAGACCAATTATGAAGCCAAGTGTGTTTAGCCTGACAACAGAAACACAGACCCCTTGTAAATTGACTAACTTTCAAGTAACGCCAACGGACAGAATTCAATTGCATAGGGGGTTTAGAAAATAGCCAGGAGTGTGAAATAGATTGTAGTTGTGAGACAATAATCAAGTTAGGGGTAAAAGAAATTTGACCAAATGCCATTGGGGGCTCATAGTATAAAATAATATTTGTGCCATGGGTCATAAACATGTATTGGGCATGACGAACCCACAAATTAGGGTTAAGATGAACCACAGAAGTGTCATTTTGAGCAGAAACACTGTTAGGAATAACAAGGTTACCTAACGTAGTTTGGGTAAAATAATATATATAAACTATGATAGTAAGTTTAAGTGTGTGTCACTTTAAACTGCAAAGCATGTAATTTTGGGTGCGGTTGTAAAACCGCCATAAGAGGGAGCAAGAGAACCTGCTGGATTGCTGACTATACTGGATTGATGGTTTGCTAACTGCGTGTTCCCTGCTGCTGAGTTTTTGGAACGTCAAAGGAAGAAAGGAGGTTTGACTTCTTTATATCTCTACTGCGAGGAGATATATTACTGGACTGATATTTGTAAGTTTACTAACCTCTTTTTCGACAATGGACTTTGCAACTGAATAATCCCCGAACGGACTGAACTAGTGAATGATATATGGACTGTTTGACTATGTTAAAACTCTTACTGGAATAAACTATTTAACTAGCACAGTGTATCTGTTTTACTGAGTGTAAGCTACAAAAACGTTTATCTCACATATTTGCCTGCCTGCCTGACTGCCGTGCACATTCTGCTAGGGTGTATCCCTAACAAACACCATTAACCATAAACAAGAAAATACAAAGTAAAATGGTAACAGAGTTAGCAGTAATAATAGCAAAAACAGCAGCAACAAGATTTTCAGGAGTCTGAGGTAATGAGGCCTGTTGCAGTTGTTGATGAGCTTGATATGTAGTAGATTTAACCTGGCCCCAAGTGATGGGTTGCGGGCGCATTGACCTTGGAAGACGGACTTCCGTGTTCAGATGAAGATTGAAATCCGGAATCGGGTTGTGAAGGCCCTGATGCCCTGCCATGATATGGATGAACACAGCGCGCTGGAACCCACACTGCTTGTCCAGTAGAAGGATCTTCCACGGCAGCATAACCATGACCCCAGGTGATCAGTGGTGTAGGGCCTTTCCAGGTTGGATCTGGAGTTTGGCGATACTTTACCAAAGGCCTTGCTAAAGATTCAGTAGTTCGAAAATGCAAATTAACAGGTGAATCTGCAAGAGAATCTAAAAAGGTTAAATAATTCCAAGTATATAATGCTACAGCAATGAGATTTTGAATCTTTCGCAGATGGTAAGGGCCAGATTCAGTTTGTAATTGTTTCTGAAGCAATGCCTTAAAAGTACGATGAGCTTGCTCAGCTATAGCTTGACCCTGAGAGTTGTAAGGAATTCTGTGCACTAAAGTAATATTCCATTTCTGACAAAATGTTTGAAATTCCTTACTAATATAAGTGGGGCCATTGTCAGTTTTCAACTGAGAAGGCCGACCCATTACAGCAAAAGAGGATAGGCAATGAGAAATAACATCTGAAGTACGTTCATGTTTTGAAGCAGTAACCCAAAGGAAATGTGAATGAGTGTCAATAGACGTATGAAGATAACAGTATGGCTTAAAGGTTGAAAATTGAGTTACATCCATTTGCCAAATTTGATTAGCTTGGGTTCCTCGTGGGTTGACACCCACTGGAAAGGGAACTGCCAGTTGCTGACAAGCTGGACAAGCACGGACAATATCCGGGGCTTGAGATAATGAAATTTTAAATTGCTTTGCAAGTGATTTGGCATTTTGATGAAAATAAGAATGACTATCAACAGGATCAACAAACAAAGACGCAACATCCTTTAAGGATTCATCTGCCTTCCGATTTCCTTCAGTCAAGGCATTAGTAAAGGGAGTATGACTTCGAATGTGTTCTACATACAAAGAATACAAGCGAGTTTCCAAACTATTCTTTAAAGATAAAAACAAGGATAACAAATTCTTATCCAAAGAGAGAGCACAATAAGAAAAAGGAAGAGATTGCATAGCTAAATACACATATTGAGTATCAACAATCAAGTTAATAGGTTGGTCATTGAACAATTGTAAAGCCAAAATCACAGCAGCCAGCTCAGCACGTTGAGCTGAAGTCTGTGTGGCAGTAAATTTAGAATACCATTGTTGTTGAATCTGCCAGACAACCACACCCCTTGTAGGTGATCCATCAGTAAAGACTGTAAGAGCTTTAGAAATAGGATTTCGCACAAAAATGGAAGAAAAGGCCGGATTTAAAGTAGTAGTAACCACTATTCTAGGATCCTTGGGTAAAGAATACAACAAGTTTCCCACATATTGAGAAAAGGCTATCTGATATGATTCTGAAATCATCATCAAATGCTCATGTTCAACTTTTGTACAAGTGAAAGCTATGCTAATGAGATCCTGTCCTGTAAGATGTAAGGCTCATTTACGGCCTTTAATAATCAAATCCTCTAATGCTGATTGATAAGGATAAATGTTTCTAGGCGGAGTAGCTGACAAATTAGTCCATTCATGAATGTTGACCGCTTGTGGGGACGCATTAGAATAAAGACATCCTGTGGGTAAGGGTGTAGTGGGAAGAATAGCTAAGCAAAGTCCTATTGTTAAGGATGTTATCCTGTCCACATATCGATGCTTAAACTTATTCAATATTTCTTGAAGGCATGTTCTTTGAAGATCAGTTAATACAACTAGATCTCCTGGTGATTGTGCTCCCTTCAAAGACTGAAATAAGGGCAACATATCACCAGTTGTAATGTAGAAGAATGGGCATGCCCAATTAATAATGCCAAGTAATTTTTGCCATTGTACTAATGTATATGATTTCTGTACTTGTAATTCAGGAAGAATTGGAATGGAGAAATTGTGCAACATTCTTTGTCCTAAGTAGGTATAAGGTTCTACCTGTTGAATTTTGTCTAAAGCTATATACAATCCCTGTTGTGCCACAATATCCGTTAATTCTTTTAACAACTTAGATTCATCAAAATCCGGGGCTGCTATCAATATATCATCCATATAATGATAGACTAAATAGGAAGGAAATTTATTCCGAAAGGGTTGAAGGGCATTATCCACGAAATATTGACAAAGTGTAGGGGAATTAAGCATTCCCTGAGGCAACACTTGCCAATGATATCGTTTTGTGGGCATGCTATTATTAAAAACTGGGACAGTAAATGCAAATTTTTCTTTGTCTTGAGGCTGCAAAGGTATAGTAAAAAAGCAGTCTTTAAGATCAACTACCAATAATTTATAAAAATTAGGAATTAAGTTAGGATTTGGTAGACCACATTGTAAAGGACCCATGGGTTGGATTCATTTATTAATTTCTCTTAAATCCTGCAGGAGATGCCATTTCCCATTTTTCTTTTTTATGACAAAAACAGGAGTATTCCAAGGACTAGTAGAAGGTTCTATACGACCAGCAGCCAATTGTTCTTGAACCAATTGTTGTAAAGTAGCAAGTTTTTCCCTTGATAATGGCCATTGTTCCACCCAAACCGGCGTAGAACAGAGCCATTTAAGAGGAAGAGCCATCATCAAGAATCAAATGGGCATTGAAAAGAGAAAGGATATCATGGCCCCAAATATTAGTATGAATATCTAGAATGTATGGTTGTAGGAAAAAGGACTTACTAGCAGATGTTGTAACATTAATTTCTTGAACACTCTGCCAAGCAGCTGTAGAACCTCCTATTCCCCACAATGAAGAAACTGTCATTTTTGGCCACTGTACTGGCCACTGTAAAGAGGAGATGAGAGTAACATCAGCTCCAGTATCCAATAACCCTTGAAATGGTTGTTTATTAAGAAAGAGCGTTAACAAAGGATGAGAGGAGTTCAGCTGATGAAGTAAGCCTACAGATAAAGAAGTTGATCCAAATCCTGCATCCCCATGATTACCTATACCAGGAGATGGAATTTCATGTGGAAGAAGAAGCAATTGAGCAACAGAAGAATTACAAGGAAGAACTTGAGGAAGATTCACCCAAATCTGAATCATGAGGATACCAGTGTAATCTGAATCTATTACCCCAGGCACAACAAAACAGCCCTTTTTGTGTGCAGAAGAACGAGGCAAAATTAAGCCAACTAATCCCAAAGGAAGAGGACCTTTAAATTGAGATGGAACTATTTTAACTTCCATGGGAAATTTAAACTCAATTTCCTCTTGAGTGATTGAATCGATTCCAGCGCTACCGCTGTGGCTGGGGAGGAGTGAGAGAGACTGCTGGAGGAGTCAGAGTGATGGGAAAGGCACGTTTTGGATTCTGGATGGGTGCCACACCCATTGGCAAGTTTCCCAACCGAAACCGACATTGATTGGCCCAATGAAATCCCTTTTTACAAATAGGGCACTTCTTAGAAGGACGATTCTGAGGCATAGAAGGTATAGAATGACAGTCCTTCTGAAAGTGGCCAGGCTTCTTACACTTAAAACAGTTACCAATTGGTCACTGTCCTTTCTAAATAGCAGCTGCTAACATATGCATTTTATAAGTTTGTGATCCAATATCCTGGCAGACTCACAGCATATCTGCCAGAGTGTAATGAGCAGTAGCCTTTAACAGCTGTAAAGCTCTTTTACAATCCGCATTAGCATTTTCAATAGCTAATTGGCGAAGAAGTTCACCAGCAGCTTCCTGATGATCAAACTGCTGTCTAATTGCTTTGGACAGACACTCAACAAAATCAGCATAAGGTTCATTGGCATTCTGTCGAATGTTTGAAAAATTTGCTCTAGGTTCTCCAGCTTGAGGTACCTTAAGAAAAGCATGAAAGGCACATTCAGAAACAATAGTTAACGTAGCTGGAGAAAGAACAACTTGAGTAGGAATTGTACCAAATGGTCCAGAACCAAATAGCTGCTCAACTGTATATGCTCCTCTCCCTCCTAAAGCAGCAGCTTGAGCATGTCTCATATATTCACTCTCCCAAACCACATATTGCATGGATGTTAAAATCATGCGAAATATTTGCTTCCAATCTTCAGGGATCATTGTATAACCATTTTTTATTCCTTCTACAAGTCCTCTTGTAAAATTACCATTAATCCCATAGTCTGTAACTGCCTTTTAAAACTCTCTTAAGATCTGATAAGGCAGACCCTCCCATTCTGCTACTTGCAGTCCAAGCTGTGGCCCCTGACCAGGACGATATTGTACTGGACAAACAGACAGTAATTCTGCAAGTTCTGTTCCTGAGACAGAGGCATCCTTTTTACAAGACTCAACCATTTTCTGAAAAGAAGACTGAACAATAGAGTCAGGAGGCTTTTGCCCTGTATCTGCAGGAGCTGAGGGAATTGAAGACATATATTCAGGTGAAGAAGGGGGATAAATGACAGCATTAGTATAACGTGAAGGTGGAGGTGTTAAAAGAGAAAGTTCATTGTGACCAAATTTTTCAATTGCATGCCTACATAAATGCCACACATGCAAAACTTCTATTTTTGCTCGAGGTTCAGTATGCAGTGTTTTCCCTATACATTCCCAATCAGTTAATTTTAAAGACCGCTTTTCTGGATACCATAAGCACTGAGCTGCAATCTCCTGGACCAGCCTTAAGAGATTTCTCTGTGGTACCTCAGTATTATTTTTCTTCAACAAATAGCCTAATTCATCTACATGCTTCCTTTGTTCCTCAGAAAGCGAAGACCCCATACTTACAGAAACCAAAAGGTTGAAGAAACCACAAAGGGTTGAAGGTGCACCAAATCCTTGCCGGACGAAGTAAGAGGGTCCCTGTTCATGCACCACTTGTTGTAATGACGAGGCAGTCGAGTTGTTTGATCATGATCAACTGAATCATGATGAACTTTATTGGAGTCTAGTCTTGCATTTATACACATTTTTAGTTATCCTCAATCATTGGTTAACTTTGGTTACTGCTTAACTTTCGTTACTGTTTAGCATAGTAATTAACACAATTAATTATCTCTAGTTAAAGTCTAACATATGTTTACTTCCTCTCTCTAATCCTCCTTTAGATTAGTGACTTTGTTTGCCTGAGTTGTATTTGCTTGGAAACATTCTTTATCTGAGGTTTGCCATCCGAGATTAGAATATTCCTGCAATTACAACTCTACATTGACAGGTTAACAGGAGAGTCTGAATTTACCATGAAATACCTTCATTTGCAGGACAACCATTTGACCCATCACTTCTGGTACTAAATGCAGTTTGTAATGTCATATGTGCTTTGAGTTGTGGACATCAATTTGCTCCTGAAGATGAAAACTTTCAGAAGCTAACTCAAGCCCTTAAAACTCTTTTGAAATTCATTGGTGACTTTTATCATACGGTGAGTCATATTTTCTACTAAAGAGACAATGCTCCCGAAACAAACTATATTTCCATAGTAGAAACATAGTCCATGGAATCATAGAATGTACAGCATGGAGGAAGCCCTGGAAACAATCTAGTATAATGTGTGCCCTTGAGTCACTGGTGATTGCCTAGACAATTCTTTGTAGTTTCCTTTTCGAGATTTTGGAAGTGATTTGCCATTGCTCACTTCCTAGGGCTGAGAGGTAGTGATTGGCCCAAGGTCACCAAGTTGACTTAGAACTGAGTTGGGTCTGAATAATGAGGAATAAAGAGGAAGAAAGATTTCTCTTGATCTTGATACTAGACCACTGATCTATCCTGAGACTAGGCAGGTTGAGCCAAGAACAGAGATCATATGTCATTGTGCTTGTAAGTTGGGTCACCACATCTGGAATTGATTGTTCAACCATTTTTTATGATGGTCATTAAGAACATCACCAATGGTCATTAAGTGAACCATTTGCTCATAAGTCTAAACCCAGCTTATCCAATGGATGTTTCTTTGTTGGAAAATGGCAAAAAATGTAAACCATGATTATGTGACTCTGAGATGTTGCAACTGGTTATAAATGGAAGCTAGTTGCCAACTATCCAAAATGCAATCATGTGACAACTGGGATGGTGGTTTATCTTTGAGGATAAGTCATAAGTAAGTTTGTTCAAGTCTGTTATATTTTTGAATGGTTGTTAAGCAAACAATTGTAAGTCAACGATTATCTGTTTCAGGGATTGTATCATGTTATTGGCTTATATGTAAGGTAATGATCCAACGAGCAAACTTTTTCACATATAACACATACAGGGAACACTGAGCTGCCTCAGACAGGCTTAGTTCCCAGTAATTATTGCATCATCCTGCAGAGATGAAAGGTTTGGAAGAATGAAGAAAAGCCTACAGGGGTTTTAGTGTGAAACAGAGAATTGTGCTTTTAGTTAATTGGCTAAGAGTTTGATCCTGCTACCTGTCCAATCCCCTAGAGCAGGGGAATCAGTTCAACTCTAAAATGAATCAGTTTATTTAGGGATTGATGATTTATGAAAATGAATTTCAATTCAAAATGAAATTCAATGGTGAAAAAAGTAAGTAACCCAAAAGCGGTGGAGAGAACCGGTTCAGTCTAAGCTACGCATCACCGCTACTGGCTTGGGAGAACTGAGCTGAACTGGTAGAACACCACCACTGGTTTGTATTTTTTTTTTTTTTTGAATATTAAGTTCTGCTGTTGCTGTGAGTCGCTAAGATTCTTCTGTAACTATTGTGAAAAATAAATAATTTTTCCTCCTCTTTTTCTTTTAGGTATATGATACATTCCCATGGTTAATGAAGTACCTCCCTGGCCCCCATAAAGAAGCTATAGCTTCTATGAATTTGATCCTCTCCTTTGCAAAGCAGGAAATAGAGAAACACAAGGAATCCCACTGTCTGCATGAGCCACAAGATTTCATTGACCACTATCTGCTTCAGATGGAGAAGGTATGGGTTCATTGTGGTTCAATCCACAGGCAATAAATTATTACATTCCTTGCTGTAAATAAGGCAGAGCTACTGATAACGTTTTCCTTCTTCCTAGATTTTTTTTTCTTTCTAATTCAGCATACATTCTGAATATAGCTCATGGTAAGTTCAGGTTGCTTCTTTTGGAGGTTAAATCCAGTCCATGTCTTACTCCGGTAGAGAAACGCAGGCAAAGGAAAAATTTGAGGCAGGCTGCAGTTGGAAAAGAGGTTTATTGGCCCAGGAACAATAGCAGTGACAATAGCAAATATTTCTGGGACAACTAGAAAATTGGGGTTATGAGTTAGTGAGTTGTTATGTTTTTTCTGAGTTCTTTCTAATTGGTGTATTGGTATTTGTATGAAAATGTGTTCCTTCTATTGTCAGGATTTCGGCACTTAAATCATAAGTCTCAAGCCAAACTTCCAAAACTTCAAAAGGATTTATTGGGAGTTAAAATGTCCGGCACTGCCTAGATGTAGCCGACTCTGAGACACATCATTCATTGTCACCCTTGACCCTGGTTTTCCCCCATCCCCTGGGTGTATCATAATTCATATTCTCCAATGGGACACATCCATAGCCAAGATTCATCAATCATGCTCTCCAGTTAGAATTTTGTGTGGCAGAAACTTCAGTCACCTAGTTACTATCTGTGAAAAACTATTTATGGAATGCACTTTCGGTTTGCAAAATGCTGCACTGCTCCCCCCTCCCTTTCTGTTGGCTACTGTAAAAAGACCATAGAAATATTTTATGAGTTGACATCTATGCTCTTTAGACTGGATATAGTATTTAATTGTCATTGCAAGATTTTTTATTGTGGCATGTGGGATTATGTAAATTTCCCAAAAAGAGTGTTTTGTTTTCCTGATTTAATCTCATTTGCACAATTAGTTTCAGTTGCTAGACAATTCTGCCATCTAGTTGGAGATCCTTTTAGAGAAATCTGATTTTACAAGGTATACATTGTTTTATGAATGAAACTTAAGTTTCCTTAAACTTTGTCTGCAGGCTGTTTTAGGAGAGGAAAAACTGGGGTTACTTTCTGCCTTTTTTAAGTAGGTATTTCTGCTCTCCTCCTTTACAAGAAATATTCTATTCAGCTTCTTTTCTTATTTTGTGGAATATTTTGTTCTGGGGAGGAGAGGTTTCCTACACTTCTAAAAAGTTACATTGTACATCTGCTCCAGAGGTGGTATTCAGCAGGCTCTGACCAGTTCTGGAGAACTGGTAGTGTAAACATTGAGTAGTTTGGAGAATGGCAAATACCACCTCTGACTAGCCCCGCCCCCATCTATTCTCTACCTCCCGAGTCCCAGCTGATCGGCTGGGTCTTCTTTTGTTGCCCTGCACTGGAGGACGGAGCTGGAAAGCAGGTTAGTGGGGTGGGGAGGAAATGGGGATTTTACAGTATCCTTCCCCTGGAGTGGGATGGGAATGGAGATTTTTGCAGTATCCTTCCCCTGCCATGTCCACCAAGCCACATCCACCAAGTCACACCATGCCCACACAACCAGTATTAAAAAAAAATTGAATCCCACCACTGATCTGGTCTCATTAGGATGGATTATTCTTGATATGGTTAGGTTTAGGATTGGGTCCAGTGTCTTAATAGGAGAATAAAAGTTAAAGTAAAAAAAAAATCCTAAAAGTGTTTATCCAGTGTTTCAAAAACATGATTAAAAGCTCTAATACTTCCAAAGAAGAGTAAAGAAGCAGAATCACAAAGTGATTCAAGGAAAAATAGTGCCCTCATTTTTTTTCAGGTGGCATATCATTAAATTAGAATGCATGCTGTGTAATCTTGCTTGCAGTTTTTTTGTGATACAAAACAGAAACAAAAATGACCCAAGGATAACTGCATAAAATTCATTGTAATTTTCATTTTCCATCAGAGCAGGAATGACCCCAACTCTACCTACAATGAAGATAACCTGGCTCGGTGTATTTTAGATTTTTTTGCTGCTGGGACAGACACAACCTTTGCTACTCTGATGTGGGCACTGCTCCTCTTGACAAATCATCCCGACATCCAAGGTGAGCGAAATCTGGGCTGTGGGAACAAGGTTCTAAAACACAGGAATTATTTGAAATATTAAGGGCTATTGAATGATGAACTGAATCTGTTCTTCATAATAATTTTTCTATGTGTTTCTATGAACATGAGCTTAGCAGGATTAAAGGAGAGCATAGAAAATACACAAACACACACATATATAACATACACACACACACAGAGAGAGAGAGAGAGAGAGACTTGAAATTTGGCACTATGTTCCTCTTGGCTTCTAGGTGCTCACTGAGAAAGGATTTTTGGAAATGACCATCAGAGCATTAGTATTTCCTATATTATTATTATTAACACGCTCTGATGCTAAGGAGTTCCACTCCCCCTCCCCACCTGAAAAGAAATCTGTTCCAAATGCAAAACACAAGCAGAGGAGTTTCAGTTTCAGTTTCACAGCACCAAGCAGCTTTAGTACAGAACAGTTGAGCTAAGCCACGCCCTTGCTGTCTCCTTCTTGCTCACATAGCAAATACTATTTCCGTTTCCAAACAACCCTCAACTCTTTCACACACACTGACAGGATGCTAGCCCGATGAATACTGATGGATGTTGGTAGGCAGAGGCAGAATACATTTAACCCACTGCAAACGCAGAAAGGTTTTCAGATTTGGTACTTAGTTTCGGTCTAAATTGTTTATCAAAGACCCAATTAGAGTCTGGTAAAGACAGAGAGAGAAAGAGAGAGGGAGGGAGAGAGAGAAAGAGAGAGGGAGGGAGAGAGAGAAAGAGAGAGAGAGAGATGAGAGGGGGGAGGGAAGGAGGGAAGGAGAGGGAGGGGGAGAGGGAGAGAGAGAGAGGATGGCTGTATAACAGTTGGATCCAGATTATTTTCTAGGTAATTATGGAACACTTTTTTTAACTGAATTAGATTTCCAAACTGATTGGGACTGAATTCTGGAGATTGACTTGACTGAAGTCGAGTCGGAGAAGCCTTCACACTAAATCACCAGTTTGTATCATTATTCTGAATCAGTTTGGATTGAATCAGATTGGAGTCGAGAGAACAGATTTTATGCCTGCACTCCTTCATGATTCTCAAAAGAAGGACGAGATTCCATTTAATGCTCTGAAAGCTATGCTACATCTTAAAAGTGTTGCTGAGGATTGAAACTGTGAAACAAATTAATAAATAAGTGAAACACAATAGAAAAGGAAACACAGCTTCTATTTCCATCTTTTTTTTTTTTCTAGACAGAGTCCAGAAGGAGATTGAAGATGTATTTGGCTTCTCAGGGTCAATTTCCTATCAGGATCGGAAGAAGCTGCCCTACACCAATGCCGTGATTCATGAAATGCAGCGTTTAAAATACATCTTGATAGTTGGAGTTCCCAGGCAAAGTACAAGGGATGTGAAGATGAGAGGTTATCTTATTCCAAAGGTGAGAAATGTGTTCAGGATGCATTCCAGTAGCCTAACATGAAAGGAAAAATAGAAATATGCAGGAGTGGGCTTCAAAAATTTTAGCAATTTTCTGCCCAGTTGCTGGGTGGGCGTGGCCTAGTCGGCCTCCTGCACCACGGGGGGGGGGGCATTTCCTTGAGCCTCCGGAAGGGCAAAAATGGCCTCCCTAGGCTCCGAAGGTTCTGTGGAAGCTGGAAACAGGCCCATTTCCAGCCTTCCTGAACTTCCCTGCACTTCCCTGCATCCAAAACGGGCCTCCTGGGAGGAGAGGGGTGGGTGGAGCCAGCCCAGAGTGGGATTTGGGGGTTCTCCAAATTGCACAGAATCTTAGCTAGGGGCTCTCTTGAACCCCTAGCAGTTCACACCTGAAAATATGGCATTTGGACGGAAGCTCTCTGTTCAGGAACTGCCAATGTAGTCATCCAAAAATGAATGGATAAGAATAGCAAGTTTTGTGGGGGATGGATTAATGGGTTAAATCCAAACACATCTCAGTTTTTAAAGTCAGAGCCTTAAACTTTTTCTATGTATCATAGGAAGATGATAAGAGATTAAGGGCTGATCTTAAATTCAGAATTGTAACCATGTATGGCCACGTTTCTTGGTCCAGTTTTTGGGGCAATCTGGTGTGATAAAGAAATATTCACCCAGCTCTGTGTTTTCATGGAAGGGAGGAGAGAAAGGAAGCTAAACAGTTGAGAAGCTACCGCTCTCACAAACTGCTTTGGAGATCAACAAATAGGAGTTCACAGTGTCAAGATAAAACCAAATGTTTCATCAATATTATTTGAACTTTTTCGCCTGTTTCCTTTACGAAACTGCTGTGTTTAGTCATCTCTATTTTCACAGGGAAGCTTTATTGTCACAGACCTGCGCTCTGTCCTTCTTGATCCTGAACAATGGGAGACACCTAAAGAATTCAACCCGAATCACTTTTTAGATAAGGATGGGAAGTTCATTGACCGAGAAGAGTTTCTGCCGTTTGGAATAGGTACATCCAATAGCTCAAAGTCACTTATAACAAATAGATTCCCACTTAACATCACCCCTGAGTTATTCTGGGATCATCATGGTCTCAATAGGAATTCCTACTAGCTTCAAAACTAAGGGAATCCCATCCACATAGATGAAAAACAACTACTGCCTACCTGCACACTCTGACAAAAATTTCCCGAAGCAGCTAAAAGGCAGCTGAAGGACTTGTAAGCAGAGCTAGAAACCCAGCCAAACTTTTACTTAGCTTAGCATCAGAAAAGCACTTCCATATTGCAACAATTTTGAATGGATGGATGGATGAATGAATGAATGTGTCAGAGTTCCAAGTAATAAATCCACAGCAAGCAAAACTCTGAGGTAGGTAGATTCCTCAAAGAATACTTTTATTGGAATTATCATATTGGCACATGTCTGATGAAAACCAATTCTGAAGTCTCCTGCAGTTTTCACCTAATTAAAAGTAAAGGTTTTTCTCCTTTCTCAAAACAATCAGTCACGTGGTCCAATCAGGGTGTGGACTGGCAGCCAGATGGCATCACTCCGCCTTCCTCTGACCAGGTGTGAGAATGTCCTTGGCTCCCAAGAGAAAATATTTTGTTTTGGCCACAGAATCCCCTCTATCTTAAATCCCCCCCTCCCTCAGCACGACACAGAAGATGCCATTTAATTTTGTTGTGTGAAGTGCAATGACAATAAAGTAAAGTAAAGTAAACTGAAGCCGTCAAAAATGGTTTTAGTCAGGTCAGCTTCAGGGTTGACAGAATGAATGAATGAATGAATGAATGAATGAATGAATGAATGAATGAATGAATGAATGAATGAATTGCAACAACTATTATCTGTAAATCTAGTAGCACCTGGCAGCTAACTCCAAAATTCAAACCTCTCTTTATGGTGTCAGTCCATTCCCACAATTTGTTCACCTGCTCTAGCATCGATGATCTAGCCATATAGTGATCTATCAGAATCACCTGGATATACACTTCCGAGTATATTCCAATACAAAAAGCTGGAATAACTAACTGTGTCCTCAAAGCCAAAGTCCAGCTGATGGCCCAGAAATGGGCCAATGAATGGTCAATGAACTGAAAATAACTGAGGGAAGAATTAGCTCTCTCAACATCATGTTTCTGGAATAGTTTATTTGCCAAGAGAACCAAAACAAATTGAGTATCATAGACTGATAAAGACCCAGATGAAATGGCCAGTTACATCCAAATTCATCTGGAGCTGTGAAACCATTGCTTCTTTGATTATCTGCAATATTTGAGAATGATTCATAATCATAAACCAGATAACAGATAATCAGAGTTGGAAGGGACCTAATAGGTCATCTAGTCCAACCCCACACCCAAGCGGGAGACCCTACACCATTTCTGTCAAATGGCAGTCCAATCTCTTCTTGAAAGTCTAAAGTGATGATGCTCCCACAACTTCTGAGGGTAAGCTGTTCCATTGGTTGATTGTTCTTCCTGTCAGAAAGTTTCTCCTTATTTCCAGGTTAAGTCTCTCCTTGTTCAGTTTCCATCCATTATTCCTTGTCTGGCCTACAGGCGCTTTAGAAAATAGCTTGACCCCCCTCTTCCTCTCTGTGGCAGCCCCTCAAATATTGGAAGACTGCTATCATGTCTCCCCTGGTCCTTCTCTTCACTAGACTAGCCATGCCCAGTTCCTGTAACTGTTCTTCATATGTTTTAGTCTCCAGTCCCCTAATCATCCTGGTTGCTCTTCTCTGCACTTTTTCTAGAAAATATCTCCAAATATGATTCAACTCTATTGTAAAAATAATCTTGTGAATGATGTTAAAACTGCTAGAGATATCTCCATATTTCACAAATCAGACTGGACTCCACAAAAAAAAAAAAGAGCTATAAGGTTCGGTTAATGTATTCCATCCAGTCCTATCAGGTAGCTTGACCATAGTATTTTGGTGGCCCTTCATCCCTACAAAATGGGATCTGCAAAAGATCCTCTCCAATTTTTGGAGAAGTTGGTTTCCATCCCTTCAGAATGGCATTCACATCTGTCTGTGGCAATAAGAATTATGCAAAGCTGGTTCTTCTTTAGAGAGAAACAAAATATCAAAGACCAATAGTAGTTGGGACAGATCCATAGCAATCATGGCCAAACTGAACCATTCCTGAATTGACAATCTGTCCATAAATATTACAATTCCCGAGAAAAGAAAAGTCCAGTGCCACAGTAGCAATTACTCTGATGGACCAGGTAAAAAGATAGCCCCTCTGAAGGGTATCAATAAACAGAGTAAAATGAAGAAAGCAGCTGTAGGAATTGAATCTGTTAAGATACCAAGATTCAACATGGAAATCTGCTTTGGCTGTTACAAATTGTTTCAGATTTCCTTGCTGATAGGGTATACCCCTGTTCTTGTCCTCACTACGCGTTAGTCTGTATGCAGCTCGACATGCAGCAAAAACCCACTTATCCTCCAATAAAACAGACAGTGTCTAAAGGCTTTATTGAAAGAACAGGATATGGTGAAACTGGGAAAAATAGGGATACATACAATAAGAACTAAATACAAGATAGACAATATTGAGTTACTGCTGAACATAACAATTCATAAATGCAAGCAATTTAAATCTCACCAATGATGCTCTGTGTTTGGGATGTGGGTTTGTCCTTGGATGACCATGTGCCACAGTTTAAGATAGATTCTTCTTTGTGCTTCTGCCTTCTCCAAATGCTAAAGGAAATGGAGTCTGGCTTCCTAGCGTGCACTTGGTTTGAGAGTGTGGGCTGATGGGGAAATGGGTTGGGTCAGTTTCAAACTTACTTGGTATTTGTCTGTCTAGCCACTAGATGGGGCTAGAGAGCAACAACAGTATATAAAGATCGTACATTAGGGCATATTTGTCCTCCGGCCACTAGATGGGATGAGAGAGCAAAAACAGTATATAAAAATTATATGATGGGGCATGACAACTCCAGATAATTGATTATTATCCCCTTTATACTTTATCTTATCTATAGGTCAGCGTGCATGTGTGGGACAGCAGTTGGCAAGAATTGAGATCTTCATCTTTCTGACCAGCCTGTTAAGGGCCTTCAGCTTTCAGTTGCCTCAAGGAGTGAAAAAACTCAATGAAGAACCTGTTGTAAAAGTGTCAATGCATCCACACCCTTATAAACTGTGTACTATTCCCATACATTCTTAAACTTAAACACCATAAAAAGCATAACATTAATTATAGGCTAGCTATTCAGTATGTTACTGTTTCCTAGATACCTACTCACTTAATAGGATGTTTTGCTTCTGTTAACTCCACACTTAAACTTCTTTAACACATTGCTGGGTTCACACAATAGACCTAACCAGGTCAACAAAAGACCAGAAAAACACCAGAAGAAAGACCAGGAGGTTGTGTATGAATAGTGTGCGAAAGAAGCTTGTTACACTTTAATTTTGCTTCCTTTTTGGTGCCAATAAAACATATCACTTTCAATTTACTCTTGGTGTCCTTTTTCATATTTTTAAAATTCCCCCCCAAGGCTTCATGTTAACCAGCCAGAGGAAATTTACAGTCAATCCTATCATGATGAGTGTATTCAAGTATTGGTCTAGCAAACGTTTTGTATGCTCTAGTTAGTAGTGTGATTAATGCCTTTTTGGTTATGTAGTTACAGTGGGCTCTAGCACTTAGATCATTAGAGATGAGTACTCCAGGTTCTTGACAGAGTTTGGATCATCAACAAGGTCTTGCCTATTCAGCTTGTATTTTATTTTCTGATTTTTTTTTGCCAATATGTAAGACAGAGCATTTATTTGTTGAGATTTGAAGTTGCCATTTGTTTGACCATTCTGATACATAGTCGAGGTCTTTTTGAAGGGTAGCAGTATTGTCGGTGGTGTTGAATAGCTTTATATCATCAGCGAAGAGAACGCAGTTGCTCTTAATATGATCACAGAGGTCATTTATGTAGGGTATGAAAAGAGTTGGTCCTAGAACACTGCTTTGGGAGACCCCACTGTTGACAAGTACAGAATTTGATAGGACGCTCCCAATTTTGACCATTTGTTGTCTGTTTGACAGGAATGCTTCTATCCAGTTAAGCAGGTGTCCAGAGATACCATAAGATTTTAGTTTTAGGAGTAGTTTGTCATGTACCACTGAATCAAAGGCTTTACAGAAGTCTATATAGATTGTGTCTATTGCTTTGCCCTGATGGAGTTGTGTAGTCCATATGTTTTTGCAGTGTAAGAGTTGCAGATTACAGGATAGTTTTTTCCTGAAACCAAATTGTTTATTGGAGAGTAGGTTGTTTGTCTCTAAGTGGAGGATATTGGATTGGTTAATAATTGATTCCATGACTTTACAGGTGACGCAGCATAAGGAGATTGGTTTATAATTTTCAACTAGGCTGGGGTCTCCCTTTTTGAAGATGGGGATGACCGTGGCTTGTGACCATAGGTTAGGCAAGGAGCTGGTCCTGAAAGATTTTTCAAAGATTATGCTTAGAGGTTCGGCTATGGCAGTGGATAGCTTTCTTAGAAGTAGACACATATTCCATCCGGTCCAATAGATAGAGATGGTTTTAGATTGCGTAGTGCTTTTTCAACATTAAAATCGATATGTATTGGATCATTGTAGTTGTCTGTGGTTCGGCTAGGAAATACTGGGCATGATCCATTGCTGTTTACAAATACTGAGCCAAAGAATGTGTTAAAGATGTTGGCTTTGAAGGTGTCGTCGTTGCAGTCTTTGATCTCTTTTTGGATTGAAGCTTCCTTATTGTTATGGGTAATCTGTTTTTGTTTTGTTTTGGGAGTTGTTGTTGGTACATGTAGTTTGATGACTCTTTTGACTTCAAGTAAAAATATGTTGTAATGGTCTTCAACAGTATTGCATCCAGTGAATAGAGATTGCCAATCAAGGGATGAGAGATCGTTGTCTATAAGATCATAGTTGCCTTTAATGAAGTTATAATTGGGGATTACATCATTGTGATGATTTTTGTGTGGGCATATGTTGAGACAAAAGTCAATCATATTGTGGTCACTGCTGGAAAAGGGTTCTTTAGTTTGTATTCTGTAAATTAAATTGAAACTATTGCAGAAGATGAGATTGAGGCAGTTGTTTAGTCTAGTGTTGTTGGTTACTAGTTGTTCCAGTCCCAGATTTGTAACAGCATTGTAGAAGGTTGCGTGTATGGGTTCAGTTGTACATTCATTTAGGGTCCAGTCAATATGAGGTAGATTGAAGTCACCAAGAAAGATAAAAGCAGGATGCTGCCCATGTTAGTAGTGTATTTAGCTTGTTTACATGTTCGATGTCATAATCAGGTGCTCTGTAACATAGTAAAAATCGAAATGTGATATTTGAGGATAGTTCACAGGTGATGGTCTCAGGAAGAGCAAGCTCCTGGGTAACTTGGATGTTTTTTAGATGAAAGAACTTTTTATCGAAGATAGCAACACCACTTCCTCTACGAATTTCATGATCTGACCGGTAAACATGATAGTCTCTTACTGTGGTAATGGAGTCAGGGAGAGATGCATTGAGCCATGTTTCACAGACAAATATGATGTCAAATTTAGCCATATTTAGTAAGAGGAGAAATTCAGGTATTTTATTCGCAAGGCTTCTTGCATTGAGTAGCTTGCATTTAAGGCCAGCAGTAGTTGGAATTGAGGTAGTTAGGGGTGTGCGTGCCTAGTCTTGGGTGATGGTGGATTGGTTGAGGTAGGGTTGTGGTTGAAGATTAAAGCTGAGCTGCAGGTTGTGTGACTTACTTTTGATACAGGCAGCATGGTAGTCAATGTACAGGTCCTTCTCTCCATTGTCTAGACATTTTTTGAGTTCAGTGCGGAGTACATGGGAGCTGGCACATTGCTGTATGGTTAGGTCAGGGCGACAACGGAGGTTCTTATGGTTGGTGTTGGTTTTGGCAAGTGAATTTATAGTGTAAATGAATTTACGTTTGCTTGATTCATTTTTGCAAATGACCCTGCAGAAGCGTGGGGCCACAGAGCCGTCTCTGTTTTTGAGCTCTTGGCCAATGCGGGAAATGTCAAGTATTTCATCAAGGGAGATGGTTGATGCTTGATAATCACTGATGATGTTTCGGACAGTTGTGATGTCATCATTATCATTGATGTCCTCTAGTCCAAATAAGATGGCGTTTGGACGTTTCTGTTTACGCTCAACAGCTTCTCTGATGAGGATTGGGATATCATTATTTGTCTGGCTTATGTTTTTTTGTGGATTGGGTTATGGATTGGGTTGTGGTTGTTATCTGGTGGCATAAATTTTTGTGTTAGCTTTTGAAGTTGGCAACGTGACCAGATTTGTTTTTCCACCAAAGTGATTTCTTTTTGGATTGAAGCTTCCTTATTGTTATGGGTAATTTGTTTTTTTCTGGTTTTGGGAGTTGTTATTGGTACATATAGTTTGATGACTCTTTTTGACTTCAAGTAAAAATATGTTGTAATGGTCTTCAACAATATTGCATCCAGTGAATAGAAGTTGCCAATCAAGAGATGAGAGATAATTGTCTATAAGATCATAGTTGCCTTTTTTGAAGTTATAATTGATTCCATGACTTTACAGGTGACGTAATACAGTGAGATAGGTCTGTAATTTTCTACTAGACTAGGGTCTCCCTTTTTAAAAATAGGTATGTGTTATGTCTCACCTGTATCCAAAGGTGAGATTACACAATTCCAGAGTTCAAATATTCAAGCAAAACAAAACCAGACCCAAAAGAGTTAACTGCTCTGTTTGCACAGTCCTTGGCAGTCTTCCTGGAATCTGTCTGGCAAGTCTGAATTGTCCTTAAATCACGATGGCCGCTTCAAACGTATTCTTCCGAATCCAAAAAGCACTAAAAATCCACTTTGCTTCGAGCGGGGGAGAGGCGTTAGCACGCTCCTTATAGGATACCCTGAAGGGGCGTGTCAGTCTCATTAATTAATCCTTGACTGGACGTCTCTTTTCTAATTGAGATTGACGTCTCAATTTTCTCCTAGTCCTAGCATCCAGCCAGCATCGGGCAGTTTCATCATCGCTTGAAGCCTCTGGCACACTTTCCTGATTAACAGTTAACATCTGAGGTGCAATCAGGGAGGGAGTTCCAGAAGAGGAAGACGCCTCTGAAACTTCTAATAAATCAGGCTCATCTCTCAGATTCAACTCCTCCTCCTCCCCCAGACTCTTCTCAACGTCGCTCAGCAATGCAGGCTCGAATCTCAATGCCAGATCTTCCTCCTCACTCGAGCCTACATCTGCTGACCGACCTGGTTCAAACCTCAGAGGCACAACAAGTATGACTGTGGCTAATGACCATAAGTCAGGCAGGGAGCTGGATTTGAAAGATACCTCATAGAGTGTGCTTAGATGTTTGGCTAGGGCAGTGGCAAGCTTTTTCAAAAAGTACCGTGTCTCTCCAACAATATGGCCTCCACCAATAGGAAGGCCCAGCATGATCTCTAGGCATGAGGTGAAATTAAGCCCCGCCCCCAAAATTTAGGCCTATTCAAACCATGCTTTTCCCCGCCACTTCTCACATCGTTCGTTAGAACTACACGAGGTGAAGAGAAATGGGGGGGAGGGGGAGAAAACTTGCTTTTAGGAGTGCCCTGCAGGTAGCCTAGGCGAGAATATCCCGATAGCCAATAGAAGCTCCCTGAAGGCAGAGTCCCCAGCCGCTTCAGGGCGTGGCGTGGCTACCCATGTCCCCTCGCAATTAGGGCAGTCTCTTTCGGGCAGTAGAAGCGGCCTCGCAGCGAGGGGAGTGTGTGTGTGCGCTTGCCCCAAGGCCGCTTCTACCGGCCAATCGAAGTGGCTGGTGACTGCATTTGGGGAGCTTCCATCACCCGAAAGAGACTGCCTAAAGGCGAGGGGACACGGGCAGCCACGCCTCGCCCTGAAGCGGCTGGGGACTCTTCCTTCAAGGGAGCTTTCGTCTGCCGAAAGAAGCGGCTTCGTGGCGAGGGGAGTGTGTGTGTGTGTGTGTGTGCAGTCACCCCGAGGCCACTTCTACCGGCCGATCGAAGTGGCTGGTGACTGCATTTGGGGAGCTTCCATCATCCAAAAGAGACTGCCTAAAGGCGAGGGGACACGGGTAGCCACGCCATGCCCTGAAGTGGCTGGGGACTCTGCCTTCAAGGGAACTTTCTTCTGCTGATTGAA